CAAAAATACAGGGTTACCATTTTTATTTATCAGTATCAGATTAGCTAGGTATCCTAGCAATAACTGATTTATATATGTATGTATATATGCGTATAGTTTCTTTTTTTAAAAGATTTTATTTATTTATTTGGCAGTTAGACAGTGAGAGAGGGAACAGAAGCAGGGGGAGTGGGAGAGGGAGAAGCAGGCTTGCCTCTGAGCAGGGAACCAGAGGTGGGGCTCGATCCCAGGACCCTGGGATCATGACCTGAGCCGATGGCAGATGCTTAATGACTGAGCCACCCAGGGGCCCTGTATAGTTTCTTTATATTTGTAAACTTTAGCAACCAGTGAAACTGAACATACTAGTTCTATATTTTTACTGCCTTGTGTCTGGCTGGTAGTAAATGTCCACTTAAATCCCAGAATATTCAACAGAAGTGATAAAGTGGACTTGTAAGTAGTCATCAAGGAATCTGCATGAGAGTAATAACGGGTACTATTCATTGAAAGCTTAAACAGTGATTAGCATGATGTTCAGAGGCTTTGAAAAATAATATACACTAACTCATATAATTTTTACTACAGCCATAAGAGGAAGGTGTATTCCCATTTAGTTCAGAAAGCCAAAGCATGAAGAGATTAAGTAATTTGCCCATGTTTGGTAAGCGGTGAAATTGGACTGCTATATAACCACTAAAAATCATGCTTTTAAAAAAAAAAAAAAGATTTTATTTATTTATTTGTCAGACAGAGATCACAAGCAGGCAGAAAGAGAGGAGGAAGCAGGTTTCCCTACTGAGCAGAGAGCCCGATGCGGGGCTCGATCCCAGGACCCTGGGATCATGACCTGAGCTGAAGGCAGAGGCTTTAACCCACTGAGCCACCCAGGCGCCCCTAAAAATAATGCTTTAAAGATTATTTAATAACAGGGGAAAATGCTCAGCAACTATTAAAAAATGGAACACAAAACTTACATGTGTATTTGCATCTCATACATAAACACTTATACAATGACAATTTACTGAATATATAAAACTGCAAGGTAAGTACCTCAATTGTTAACCATTCCATGTAGTAATGGGTGATTTGTCTTCTCTTTTAGTATTTTTTTTTGGAATGTCAAAACTTATTAGAATGAGCAGGTATCATCTTGAGAATCAGAAAAGAAGCAGCAGTAACAAAGGTTTTTAGAAATTGTTCCAGAAGCTGTAGCAAATTTAAACAAACCGATTGCCATAAAATAGGAATAGTCAAAGAGTCGTCCTCTTAAAAAACAACCCAGACCTTACTGCCTTGTAGTAAGTTTCTACTAATACTTATAAGAATCAGCTAATACCAGTCTTACTTAAAATGCTCTTGCGCTTGGCTATCCAATAGAACTTTCCATGATGATGGGATGGCTACCTAATGGCAGTGCATATATAGGACATTTGAAATGTAGGTAGTATAACTGAGAAACAGAATTTAAATTTCATTAAAATTAACTTAAATTTGAATGGTCACACATGGCTAGTAGCTACTGGGTTGGACATTGCAGTTCTAGACTATAAAAAAATGGAGGAAAATTTGCAAATTCCTTTAAAAAAGCCAATATAACTGTTACCTGAATATGATAAAAATGTAAATTGTGGATGAATTTCCACATATGAATATCAGGGTAAAAAATAAATAAAATAGGGCGCCTGGTTAGCTCAGTTGTTGAGTGTGTCTGCCTTCAGCTCAGGTCATGATCCCACCATCCTGGGATTGAGCCCCGCATCAGGCTCCCTGCTCCGCAGGGGTTCCGCTTCTCCCTCTCCCACTCTGCCTGCTTGTGTTCCTTCTCTCACTGTCTCTCTCTGTCAAATAAATAAATAAAATCTTAAAAATAAATAAATAAAATACAGATACAATATAGCATGTGTTAGAAGAATAATATGTATGGAAGATTAAGGATGGTCTAATATTGGGAAATCCATTAATACAATACACTCCTACTAACAGATCAAGAGAAAAAACTCAGACCGCAGCTATTGAAAAGGGATTTGTTAAAATTAAACCTCCATTGCTGATTAAAAACTCTGAATGAAAGAAGACTAACCTGCATTTACATAACACAAGGAAATATATATCTTGACCTAGAAAACTATATGGGAAAATAACAAAATGGAGAAATGATAAAAAAAAAAAATCCCATTAAACTCAGGATTTCCCATTAAATGTTTAATGAAGAGAAATATATTCAGTGTTACCACTATTACTTCAGTTGATTTTGGAGGTACGAGCCAATGAAATTAGCTAATAGGAAAAAAATAATAGGTCTAAAATTTTAAAAGAAGTAAATTATCACTAACTGTGCATATTACTAATGTAATCCTGATACACTAATATAAACAATCACAAATACTTCGTATGGACCTAACCTCTGCCATTGGTTCAATTACTAGCACTATTAACAATTAGCTGTGTGACAGTGAGCAAGCTATTTAATCTCTTTGTTTCCTCTGTATAATGGGGACAATACTATCTTACCAAAGGGCTATTAAGACTATTAAATATGTAAATATATATAGAACTCTTAGAACATGCTTGCATATAATACTATTTAATATTACCATCAGTATTAAAATAATACTAAGGCATGTTATAATCATTACAAAATTATTATGAATTATAAAATATATAAAGTATAAAATATATAGAGTATAATAATGTACAAAATAAAAATACAAAGGTCAAAGTCCTTCCTATATGAAAAAGGATTATTTCATTTATAATAGCAACACAATCATTAAATACTTAGGAATAAACATATAAAAGTGTGTGATTAAATAAGAATATTAAAAAATGCTAGTAGGGGACAAAAAGAATCATTGAGTAAAGGGCAAACATATACAAAGGGAGATTCAACAATATAAGTTACAAATTATTCTATATACTTAAAAAACAGATAAAAGTGACTCAAAGTTTATATAAAAATAGACATAAAAAGTGAAGGTAGAACAATAAAGGAAGGTTAGCATGAATAGATATGAGACAATATTATAGTGCCAAAGTACTCAAAATAGTATGGTACTGAAGTCTGAATAGATAGATTCAGAAGATACAGAAGTCTGAGGGCACAGAAATAGAACAAATTCATATTGGTATTTAATACATGCTGAATGGAGATACTGCATATGAGAGGGGGAGATTAATTATTGAATAAATACCAGTTATAAAATCTGGTAGGTAGGCCATCTGAAAAAAATAATGCTGGCTTTCTACTTGATTCTTTATACTAAGGTAAGTTCTCTGTAGATTAAAGACTTAATCATAAAAATTAAATAAAAAGTAGTGGATGGAAATATGAGAGAATGTTTTTCTATAGGCTTGGTCTGTAGAAGATCTTATTATACAAAACTTGGGAGTTATATAAAAGGATAAATTCAGTTATGTAAAACCCCCGAATTTCTGCATGGCAAAAAGCACCACAGAAAAATCAAAGGCAATGACAAATTTGGAAGATAATATTAAATCTTATGTCAGTTAAGTTGTTTGACTAATAGTCTTCTCTTCAATTTCTTTGACTCACACACATCAGTGAAAAAATGACCAACAATTCAATCAAAAAGTGGTCAGATAATATAAGCAGGTATTCCAGAGAAAAAAAATTCACTTTTTCTATTTTACTTGAAGTATTTACTTTATTTTTCTATTTTACTTACTACTTTACTGAAAAGATGTCCAACACTATTTGTGATTAGAAAAGTGTGATGATTCAACCTTTTTGGCAGACTTTGGGCAGTATCTATCATAATTTTATACACACACACACACACACACACACACACACACACACATCTCATTGCCCTACCTATTAAACTTCCAGAATTTACCTTAGGGGTATACTCACAGATGTGCTCAGTATCACATGTGTTTTTTGTTGTTTTCTTTTTTTGGTAAGAGAAAACATGTTGGTAAGAGAAACTGGTTTAATAAATGTGAAATATGCAGGAAATGAAATGTTATAGAGTCATTAAAAATGAGATGGTAGCTGGGATTGAGTGTAGAGATGAATAATTCCAAGAAGTGAGAAATAAAGGTACAGAGTTAAGAGTGCTACCATTTGTTTAAAAATACGTGTCTGTAAGCACATAAAATATCCCTGGAAGAGAAGATATTCCAGGAAGATGGCTGGATAACTGAGAGACAGACACAGGAAGGCAATTACTTTTAACTGCACATCATTTTATACCTTTTGCATTTTATACCATATGCATACATTATCCATTCCAAAATTAATTCCTTCTTTTTTTACTAGTTTATGATACTGATTAATTTTATTTATGTATTTATGTATTTATTTATTTATTTATATTAACATATAAGGTATTATTTGCCCCAGGGGTACAGGTCTGTGAATCATCAGGCTTACATATTTCACAGCACTCTTTTTTTTTTTTTAAGGATTTTATTTATTTATTTGACAGAGAGATCACAAGTAGACAGAGAGGCAGGCAGAGAGAGAGAGGGAAGCAGGCTCCCTGCTGAGCACAGAGCCTGATGCGGGACTCGATCCCAGGACCCTGAGATCATGACCTGAGCCGAAGGCAGCGGCTTAACCCACTGAGCCACCCAGGCGCCCTTCACAGCACTCTTAAAACAGCTTTTACCTTTTTATCTCCTTTTCTTCTTCCATTCGCCAGAAAATCCTGGCTCTTCCCACACAATGCTGCATATTACCACAATCTCAGCTCACTCCCCTTCCTCCTTTTTTTACCTGCCTAAATAAACAACTATCCACAAAATGAACAATAGGAATGTGGGACAAAGAAAGCACCTTATGTTACAGAACAATACTAGTAAAACATCAAAATGTGTATTTAGAAAGAGCTGAAAAACTATGTGACGAATGGTAACAATGTTTATCTTGAGTGGGGGGATACCAGGTAATTTTGGTTTTATCCTGGTATTTTCTGTGATTTCCAAGGTTTAGATGGCAATATGTATTACTTTTAAAATAATTTTTAACTTTTAAAAAACTTCTTGCTACTCACCTGGTTCCTGTCCCTGGCATTTGCATATCGAAACCTCTGGATATAATAAAAGACCAGCCATGCGAGGGATATGATCATCAGGACGATGAAGGAGATGGAGACAAACACAACCGAAGTGCGGCTCACATATTTCTGCAAGTTCCGGGTTCCGATGGTGATGTACATGGTCACCGTGATGTTCCTTTCCAGCAGGCTTACTATCTCCTTCCCTTTTGGCTCAGGAATCATTATTGCCACGATGTCTTCTACACCTGTTGTGACAGGGACAAGGAGGGGGTAACAAGGGTAAGGTGAGAAGAGAGAGAGGGAGAAAATCGTAGTGAAATGTCTAGACAAAGTGATGTATAGCCAAATAATGACCCTACTTTTGACAATTCTATGCCAGAACTAACAGCCGGCTCCAATTCTAAGATCTCACAGCTAGAAAAGGAGTCTCCTGCAGCTAGCTACCTTGTATGTGAGAAAAGAACCTAAACTGAATTCATGACCCTTCCCACCTAGCCCAGTTTACAGTTCTCTGGGGCACTTCACAGACACCCAAGGAGGGGAAGAGGTACCTTCTACCCCGTGGGAGAAGGGTAGGATGCCCCATTCTGTGCATTCCCCCTTGCGACACCAGGAATCCTCAAATACAGATCTCTATCATTTCTAAGGCAGTTTTCTCCTACATTGAGTACCTAAAGTAACCCCAAATGGGTTTCTTGACAAGCTCTAATGATTTATAAACATTAATATCATGGCCTCAGAATTATTTCCTACTTATTTTATCGAATTCAACATAAACAGCTTCGGTCTCCTCATACTCAGCAAAGAGAGAAGATGGAGACTGCACAATTTCAAAATTGTTTTACCTCAACTTTCAAATATTCCTCCCCCCATGCCCATTATTTGACAGTCTGAAGCCAAAGTAGCGATTCTGGGGGGTCGAAGTTACCCTTTGTCATTGTCCCTATTCATTTTTTTTTTCTTTTTAAAGATTTTATTTATTTATTTGACAGAGAGGGAGAGATCACAAGTAGGCAGAGCAGCAGGCAGAGAGAGAGAGGGAAGCAGGCTCCCTGCTGAGCAGAGAGCCCAATGCGGGGCTCCATCCCAGGACCCTGAGATCGTGACCTGAGCCGAAGGCAGAGGCTTTAACCCACTGAGCCACCCAGGCTTCCCCATTGTCCCTATTGTTGATGATGCTGTGCAAGGCACAGCCTCCACGGGGAGTCTTCAGTACCGGTATGATACCAGCTCCAAAATGACCAACTCAACATGCCACCATGGCTGATCCTTGGACTAGAATATTGATTTCAGTTTCACCAGGGTAGGTTCTCTGGTATCACCCCAGTTCATGTTCACAAAGCTCTGGGTGAGCCCTCCTTCCATATGGAAATAGCCCATGACCTGGGGTCATTGCTAATTAAAGAGAACAAATTTGCAATTAAGATATTGCAGATTCAGGGCAAAATTAAACACCGCTGTAGCTGCTTCAAGTTGGCCTCATTCACGGCTGAGGTCAGTCTGCTGGATGGAACCAGCAGATTACCTTTGCTCAGAGGGATGCAAGCTCTTAGAGGCTACTTAGGGCTTTCACTTGACCTTGATCTCTATGCAAGTTTGCAATTCTAAATTCCTTGCTGGTATTCCACTGAATAAATACTTTAACAGCTAACTACATACAAAGGTATCTGTGTGTGCTACATCAATTACCTATTTTTTAAAAATTCCTAAAACTTTTGTATTGGCCCAACTGTAAAATCAGAAAGCCCAAGAGGATTTAGATTTGGCTGTTATTTCTGGGAATTACTGAGACTGATGGATTGAATTTCAATTTTGCAGAATTTACTGACAGTTTCGATGCTCCTTCTCTTTTCATGTTTACTTTGGCTAATGGCTGCTTGTGGTCTGAGGTTTTGTTGAGGGATTAAGGCTACTGACAGGTTTTGTCTCTACAGAAATATGATCTTCTGTGTATACTAGACTAGTCTGGCCTGGTGAGGCTCATCCCAGTGCTGTAGCTATTTTATAGGTAGTATATTCTAGTAGTGGTAGGATAATAATTTTTCATTTAATTTACTTCCTTATTTATATTTTTAAAACATGTCTACTCAGGACTCTAGAATTCGGTTTTTGTGGATGGGATTTTGGGGTTATTTACAAAAGATGTCATATGCTCAGACTTGCACACATTCCACAGTTTTCATTCCTAGTTCAGTCATTTTTATTATTTACTTTTATTGAAGCATGGTATTACCATACGACACAGCAATCTGATAGTTCAATGCCATACATGATGCTTTGCCCACCATGAGAAGGCTTTTACATTTTTTGGTAGTCAAATTTTATGAATATAATCCCTTATGGCTTCCGGTTTTGATTCTCTGCTTAGAAAGCTCTTTTTCACTCAAGAGGATAGCAAGACTCATCAAAAATTGCTTCTCAAAACACAGTTTTATGTTTTACATTTAAATCTTAACCCAAATACGATTTAGTAACAAAACAATATTTACTGCGCTCTTCCAATGTGATGGGCAGAGAGGAGACAGATAGGATGCAGTTGGTTTTCCCCCTAAATTCTCAGATATGATTGGATCAACTTTTGGACTTTGTTTTACAGTAAGGTTGGCCTTTCTTTCGCTGAACCCATTGCAGGCTGCTTTAGTTGTGTAACTTTTAACATCTTTATTCTCTGGCGGCCTGTCTTCACTCATTCTCCTGCATACACTTTTCCTACTCTCTGCTTATGCATTAAAGACCATAGAGCCTAACAGTGAAGAGTCAAAGCCCAGCTCTACACTTTAAAAACAGGCAACCAGGGGCTCTTGGGTGGCTCAATGGGTTAAGTGTCTGACTTTGGCTCAGGTCATGAACTCAGGGTCCTGGGATCAAGCCCGGTGGCGTCCAGCGCTGCGCGCAGTGGGGAGTCTGTTTGTCCCTCTGTCCCTCCTCCCACTCATGCTCTCCATCTCTCAAATAAATAAATAAAATCTTTATTTTTTTAATTTAAATTCGGTTAGCTAACATATAGTACATCATTAGTTTTTGATATAGTGTTCAACGATTCATTAGTTGTGTATAACAAAAATAAATAAATAAAAATAGGCAACCAAATTTTGGATATCCACAAAGTTTTAAATCACTCCTTATCCATTTTTAGGGACCTGAGAAAATACTTTCTGTTCCTGTAAGGCAAAGTTAAGTGACCATTTTAAAGCATTTAAACTTAAGTGCTTAGTCAACATTGCCGACATTGTTCGTACTATTGGTGTACCTTCACGATAGAAAACAGCCACTTGGAAGGAGAAACAGTAAAAGTGGCAATAGAGCAGTTCTATTCATCTAGACCTCAACTTTATTCATCTTTCTAGGGCTGATGATGGTTTAAAAAAAAAATGGATGGGATTCTTGGATATTTCTCCATATGCTTTAGGCTGTGGATTACTGTGGGCGGTAAAGGGTATGCATTTATCCCAACAGGAACAGTCATTAAGAATTTAGGTACAGGGGGCACCTGGGTGGCTCAGTGGGTTAAGCCTCTTCCTTCCACTCAGGTCATGATCTCAGGATTCTGGGATCGAGTCCTGCATTGGGCTCTCTGCACGGCAGGGAGCCTGCTTCCTCATTTCTCTCTCTCTGTTTGCCTCTCTGCCTACTTGTGATCTCTCTCTGTCAAATAAATAAAACCTTTAAAAAAAGAAAAAAAGAAGAAGAATTTAGGTACAGGGACACCTGGATGGTTCAGTTAAGCGGCTGCCTTCCGCTCAGATCATGATCCTGGAGTCTGAGGATTGAGTCCCGCATCACGCTCCCTGCTTGTCAGGGAGTCTGCTTCTCCTTCTGACTTCTCCCCTCTCATGCTCATGTTCTCTCTCTTGCCAAAACAAAACAAAACAAAACAAAACAAAACAAAACAAAACGTACGTAGGTTATCCAAAACCAGTACAATGAAGTGGATCTGGACGAATCATCTGATCAGTCTTATCAATGCACAAAATTCAGGGCAAAAGCTACCACACAAGGTCTCATATGTTCAAACGAGGCACGTGCACCAAGGTGAGTAATCAGATAACTCCCTGATCTTTGCTTCATTTTGAAATGCACAGCCACAGTATCAGGCAGAAGCCAGCAGCTTCTCCCCAGGTAAATGGTAGTGTAATTGCTTCTGCAGGTGTGTGGGAGGGAAGGAGTGAGAGAAGCAGGGGAGAGGAGGGGGAGAATGCACTGAAAACCTGAGTGCTCTCAGAGTTACAAGCTGCCCTGAGTATCTTATCTAGGACACACGGAAAGCTCTGAGACTCGGGGAAAGGGAAGTTAGCAGGTAGGCAATTTTTCGGGGGTAAAAGCTACAGAGGCTCTGCCTGGTATTTGGGAAATTCTGTGTTTACCATGATACCTACTCGCTCAAATATTGATTGCCTCTTTTGCAAAATTATGTCAGCCGACCATTTATTTCCCTCCCAAAGGTATTTCATACTTCTGAGTGATAGTTATTATATAATTATGGAGTATTCTGGAAAAGCTCTTCAGCCGGGCGAGACAATGTGTGCCCAGCGGACGTATGATCCAGCGGCCACATGGCAAGGGTGCTCTGGATTCTTAGTGCTCCCTTTCCCAGGACAGCATTCAATTACCATTATCTAATTTGGTATATGCAAATGGTAAAGGATCAAAACAGAAGTGCAGGAATCTAAAAAATGTTTAATAACCAGAAAATCCATGATTTGTAAATTCAAAACCAGGTTGTTTAAACACTGCATTAAGACAATGCCTAGGACACCAACAGAGTGTTAGACCCTGGACAGAGCTCCAGCCCCGTTCCTCCCTGCGCAGCTCAGAGAGTGGTACCATCTCTCCTAGGTTCGTGTGATCAAAAATCCTTCATCAGTTCTCTGTATCCTCTACAGAGGGCCTTTCAGAATTTAGGCAATAATAAGAAAAGGCTGCAGTATTTCCTTTGGAGATATTATTTATTTATTTACTTAATATCTTTATTTTATTTTTTTAGATTTTATTTATTATTTGACAGAGACACAGAGAGGGAACATAAGCAGGGGGAGTGGGAGAAGGAGAAGTAGCTTCCCGCCAAACAGAGAGCCAGATGTGGGGCTCAACCCCAGGACCCCAGGATCATGACCTGAACCGAAGGCAGACACCTAATGACTGAGCCACCCAGGTGCCCCTCCTTTTTTTTTTTTTTTTTTTTTTTTTAAAATAGCTCCTGATTATCACCTGTTCTTGTGACACAATGCATGGAAACTGATCTTAA